GAGTGGGAATACCCCAGATTGTTTATCTCAGTAGTAAGAAAAACTATTACTGAGAAAGACACTTTCATACTTAAACTCTGCAAGATTTATTTGAAAATTACTCTTAATGTTCTTCAGCCAATCTGCTCCCTAAGATTTGAGTCATATGTGCCTTTAAATATTGCCTCAGTAAGTTCAGACTTATACAGTTTTCCTACCTCTGAATTATATTTAGTTCATCATTCTCATAATTTAAGTTCACCATATTCCTATACTCCATTTGTATTGTGAACCTTCTCCAAATGATGTTTCTTAAATTTGGGAATAGATCATTGGTACAAAACCAAAATACTTTTGAATGTGTCCTGTCTCCTAAATATTTTATCTATAGCTAAAACCATTCTCTCTCGTGAGTGTGAATAAAACCACAACACAAACTGGAAAGCATTCAGCATCAATGCCCACACTTCCATCTCAGGCCTACTTTGTTATTTTGCATAAGTCCCAAAATGAGAGAGTTTTACTTTTATAGATAGTCTAATTAAAAACTCCAAATGAAGTCTGTGGTGCTTTTAAAATGAAGCTTTAACTTTGTGTATAAACAATGCTGATGCACAAACAGATTTCATTTCCTATCAAAGTCAGTGTTAACATTCTTTAGGCGTTTGCAATATTGGAAAATCTGCCAGATGAAGATTTCTGTGTGTTGTGGGTAAACAGGCCCCATGCCTGCAGGGTATCTAAACCAGCACACAGATCTCAACTGCAGAGAAGACCCTTTAACCACTGTTTTCTTTTGCCCATCCATAGGAAATGACCAACTGATAGATGAATGACTAAGCTCAGCATTCCTTATTTATGCACATACAAAGCTGACTTTCTGGGGCTCCTGACAACCACAGGGGTCAGTGGTTTAATTCCACCACGTGTATTCTGAGTAATCCAACAAAAATAAGAGCCGTTTTCTGCTTATTTAGTGCATACTTGCAATGAGTTCATCGTTCTACACAACAAATGGAAGGCTGAGTGCCTGCTGTGTATATATATATATATAAATGTAGATATACACACACATATATATATTTATGGATGAAGGAGCTGAATGCACCATTTGCTAACCAGATTAGACCAGGAGGCTGATTTGTGACAATGCAGTGCCTTTTAGAAATAGTTCCAGCCTCCAGTATTGCCAGCGCTGAACTGAAGCTGTGTGGCTGCACAGGGCTCCAGTAAAAACAGAAGCTGTGCTGTGTGGAGCAGCCTGCAGCTCTGGAGCTGCGACTGAAGTGATGCCTCAGTGTTAAGAGGGTGACAGGAAGGGGTGACTCAGCCCCCTGGGAGGGAAGCTGCAGTCACTGGCCACTGCCTTCCCCTTGGCTTCAATAAAAGAACAGCGTCAATGTTTCTCTTCTTTGTGAGAAGCCGGTACATATGCCATGTCTGACCTGATACAATCACCAAAACAAACTTCCCACACTCTCTGTTTTCCCCCAGACTTTTTGCAGCGTGTGTCAATGTTTTAAATGCTTCTCTCTTCTCCGAGTGCCCACAGGAGACTATGGAGACTGTGTGTCACTTTTGTGAGCTGTGCAGGGTCAGGAAGGAGACGCTGACTCTGCCCCATACGTGTCTGTCTGTGTTCAGAAGGATTCTTGAAGAAGAAAACTGCAGGTGAATTATGGAAAATCTTGCTCTGCCACTTTGTCAAGTCAGAAACTACGTGCAGGGCCTGTGTTATGGCTTATTTTTCCCTAAAAACCAAGCACAGGCTGCTCTTAGCTGTAATAAGAATGAGGCCACTGTGCTCCTGATGCTGAAAAGTCAGAGAATGAACTCCCTCAACTCATTTTGGGTACAGAAAGCCAAAAAGTACACACCTTTATTGAAGCTCCAGGTGCTTTGGAAAAAATCCCAGAGGATGCACCCTGAATCACATGGGTTTCATAAATTTATCCCACTTTCTAACTACAGATTCAAGGATTACCTCATGTGTCCCACCCCACTCTCCACCACAGCAGGCCCCCCTCGAATCGCTTGTGTTTCTCTTGACTCCTTGGTTCTGGTGCAGTTTCCTGCCTTCTGGCCCTGGTTCAAGGCCTAAATCCACTCTTGTCTCGGCTGTTTCGTCTTCTTTCTCGCTTTTATCAGTCTCCCCACAGGTGCAAGCAACGGCCTCTGTTTTATCAAAATTCTTGCCTGTAAGGAATCTTCACAAGAAATTATCAACTTGCCCTTGAGAACTTCCAACCTTACTAAAACACAGGAGTTCTGTGGCTAACACTCTGCTCTTAAAATGCTTAGTCTGCAACACATAAATTCTACGGCTAACAATTTCTAACAAAGTGCTTAATTTACAGCCACACTCTCAGAAGCAGCCTGGAAACCAGCTTGTCAGTACTGAGCCTATGGCTGACAGTGGAGTGATCTGGATAATCTTTGGAGTACGAGGAGCAAGAGGCAGAAGAACTTTAACTTCACCAGCATCCTGTGTATATGCTGGTCATTGCAGTATTTACCACCGGTGCACCCAGTGGAACACCAAGTCATCATCTGGGCTCGGATTATAACTAAGCCCAAAGCTATTATAAAAGAAAGACCTCAAGATATATTCAAAACAGAACCTCGTGGCCAACCTTGCCCGGAGCCACTTTTGTCAGAACAGCTGGAATTGTTTTAATTGTAGTTCTTATAATCGTCACTGTAATTAGCTCCTGCCTCTTCTGCAGAGAAGAAAAACATGATGGCCATTTAAATTAGTCAAATAAAAAGGCTGGGAAAACTATTACTATTCATGGACTGCAACCGAATTTGCATCTTCTGCTACTTCTGATAACAAGCTGTTGGAAGACACCCTGAAAACACTGGTTTACAGCTTTTCTTCTTTTCTTATTTGCACTGTGTTTTAAACCTGCAGTTTATGGTCAGAGAAACAAAGAGCTGCAAACCCAAGTTTTTCAACAGGCACTTACTCACCACATGGCAAATTCTGTCGACACCGTTTAGTTTATTGAGTGACTGATCCTGTATGTCAAACTCTAACTCTTCCACCTTCTAACAGTGATGACCACCAGCACTGTAAAATAAAGCAGAAAGCCTTGGCTGTCCTGCACAAAGGGGTTTTATGATGCTGGCTGGAACTTAAAGGAAGTTGTGCTGTTGGACTCCTTTAACAATTTTCAGATCCTTGTTATTATGACCCCACTACTATGAAGCTCACTATGAAACAAGATCTGGCAGGAGACAAAGTATGAGCTGCCATCTGGGAATGCTGCAGGTTTGCCAGAGGAGATCGAAACCAGGATTTATTTTAAAAGCAATGAAAACCTCCTTTCACTGGGCTGTAGTAAAAGTGATGATTATAGAGAATATGATGGAATCCATCTGAAGGTACCTACTGCTAGATAGGAAAATAACAGCAGTAGAGTAAGTTCCAGTGACAGCCTTTCCAAATGCAAAACCAACCTGCAGAACCAAGTTTAGGAACTGTGTTTAATATCTGAATATATGCACACTGTTTTGTCCTTACTCATTACATTTAGAGCAATTAAGTTTTATTAAGACTTTAGCAAGCTACCATTTATTTTTTTTCTGGTTAATTTTTTTCCCTTTTACTGTTGAATTCTGAAATATGTCAAAAAGTAGGAACACAAAAATAATTTTGTTTATTTATTTAAAGCAATGAGTTCTTGACCCTAACAATGCTGATACATTGTTCTTTTAGGACCTCTGGAAGTGATGTACTTCAGGGAAGGACATGAGTATTATTTTACCTCTTGCTTCCCCACATTCACTGTGTGCCCTGGAAAGTCTAGAGGATGCCTTTTGGAGCAAGGTAAAGCTAATTAAATCTTTGAGGTTTTATTTTTAGACAAGCTACCTAGACATAGAAATCTGAAAAACTAGGCTCATTTTTTGTTGAAAATTCTTCCAGCATTGTCAACCCCAAGAGACCCATTCATAAAATGAATGAACTGTCAGTGGTTAAATTATTATAAAACTAAAGGGAAGTGAGTCTGGTGTTCACCTGCCTTTTAACCTTCCAGGGTAAAGCATACCCTGATGCACTGATACATATCTCTGAAGCTAAAAATTATTTTCAAATAAATGCTAATACTCTTCCTAGTAGCAGGATCCCAAATCCTGCCCCTTGCTGCTGTGATGAGGGGAAAAAAAAGTTGCACCGTGCTTCAGTATAAAGTTTCAGTAACTGCTGCGTTACTGTATCGACCACTACATATCCACATGCTTAACTTGTGGCATTTAAATTTGAAAGTGGTGGCCTTGTGTATGCGGTCCTAATTTTGCAGATGCAAAAGGAGGAGAAAAAGGCTGCTTGTTTGGCAGTGAGTTTCGATGAGCCAATGAGATCCTCCACTGAAGTACAAGAGAAAGGAGGAAGTAGGAGCCCAACAACCACTTGCCAGTCTGTTCTGCGATCAGGCAGCGGATAAGCTGTTTGCAGCTTGGCCTTTATTTTAGATTAATGCTGTCACAAGTATAGCACAGTTTGCACAGGCACTGAAAACCAAAGCCAGCTGATTACGAGCTCCACTTTGCCAGGGAAACTCTGAGGAGTGCCCTGACACCTACTGAACACAGGCCGTGGAGAGATGGATACATTTCAGCATCACTGAATGCTGTGTGAAAATATGAGAACAAACTATATAATACCCTAGGGTCCATATTAGCATTGGGAGCTAAACGTTCATTCACATATTAGAAAATAAAGCAACGAATATGTGGCTTTTAATTATTAATATTTTTTCCCGCTGTAATTGAAATCCTGCTGCTTTTCATATTTCCCCCTGCTATGCACAGTGTTGAAGCAGGGGAGGAGAGAGAAGATGAGAAGAGTCCTGCTACAGGGAGGTGGGGAAAGTCCGAGCTGACAGATGGAAAAAAGTGCTGTCGTGTGAAGGCTGGAGTAACAAGCACGAATTGGTCTGAGTATCACTTAACTGCACTGCAAATGCAGGCCTAGATTTAGAATAACTGCAAACTGAAACCCGAACACTGGTGGAAACTGTCATCTCTACAGAATTCTGGTAACACAAGTTGAGTGATGGAGGGTGTCTCTCTTCTGAGTGTCTTGTTCACAGGCACTTATTGCCCTGGCAGGGTCTTAGGTCCTGTATACCAGGAAGCAGTTCTGAGTTTTCCCTTTCTGTGGCTTCTTTGGGGTTCCAGCCCTGGGAGTAGATCATTAATGCAGATTTATGGTGGCTGTTATAACCAGGCTAATGTCGGCTCCTTTGAAAGGCAAAGTTTGCAGTTAAATTCCAGTTGATAAACGTTTAGATAATACCAGATTTGATGCAGTTTAATCATAGGAAGGTGATTAGAGATCACAAGCTAAGGCAACCACAGACCTTTTCAAACAAATACACTCAGCATGGTATATTTAACAAGATGCTGAACATTCCAGAATCATCAAATCCTTTTTTTCCAACAGAGCTCCTCCTTTTGAAATTAAGAGGTAATGCCAGTGGAATCCTTGCCAAGTAGGCAAGAACTCATGAGGGCTGTTAATAATTTCCGACTTTTCCCCTTTATCCCTTATGAGAGTCCTAAAATTGCTCCTTTTGCTTTATTGTGTTTTTATGCTCTAAATGCGTAATGCACAACATGCTGTTTTGTCCCTGCTCTTCCTCTGCACTTGTCCAGCTGCTCTGATCCCTTTTGCAGCAGCAGCAGCCAACCTGCTTACCCACAGTGAGGAACCACAGCCTAGGGATGGCTGAGAACCACGTGCTGTGGAGAAGAGAGACACGTAGAAACCAACTGTCCTTGTGGTGATCCTTTTCCCCTCACTGGCTTGTGATTCCTACTGCTGGTTATGATATTCACACACTCTCCACTGTTAATGCAGAGGATACCTTCTCTGATTTACACAGAGGATTTCAGAGTGCTGTCAGCTGTTGATGGTTATCGTTTCAGAGGATGTACACAGACACACCTTGGAGCTTATCTTCAAGCTTGCCTTGTGTGGCAGTGCATCCTCCCCCCTCTTGGGCCACACTCTGACCTCAGAAGTGCAAAAATCCTGGAAAGTGAGTTCTGCCTTTACTGGTAGATGTTCAGCTTGGCTTCCTGGGCCTAGAGCCTAGGACACCATGCTGACTTAATGGAAATTGCAGTGATGTCACAGTTTGAAATTCAGCTTGAGAAAAAAAATAAATAGATGTTCAGCTGAGCAAAAAGAAGCTACGCTTGCTTTATTACTTTCCAAAACGGATTCCCTTGCAGCTTCAGATGTTTGCAACAAAACTGGCTAGCACATTGCTGGCAAAAGATTTTGTGATCATGTTTTGCTTGGATTGTTCTGCTTTGTCAGTGTGGTTCAGAACACAAAGGCTATTGTTTAAAAAACCCATGAATGTTAATTTGCATTCCATTGCTGGGTTATTACAGGGAGGGTGGAAAGAAAAAACAAGCTCTGACTTAAAAAAAAAAAAATTTACATTGTTTCCTTTTCCCTTTCTTCTTCCTTGTGACCGGTTCTCCTTTATTTTAATGTTTCTTCTCCAGGCTGCTCTTAGAGACAGCGAGCACTTTTAGGCAAATACAAGTACACCCACAGCTGTGTGTGTAGAATAGAGTATTTTAGTTGTTAGGGACCCACAACAGCCGTCTAGTCCAGCTGCATGTAGATCATCAGTAGAGCTATGTACATTTAAAAATTACCTTAACTTACAGAACCCATTCTATAGTGATGTTTGTGAGCGGTGACACTTGCAGTAACACACCTGCTCTTAAATTAGGAGGTAATTGCAGAGTGAAATTCTGTGTCTGTACTATTCCAGAAGACTCTGAGTATGGTTTCACAAGTGGCACAGACACCACTTGGCCCTCACTGCCACATCTGCCACCATCTGCTGATTGTCCACCCTGAGCCACCTGTTCCAGCTGTGCCCACAGCCCCAGCTGTGGTGTTCATACAGCAGTGTGGGGAGGTGAATAAGCTCACCAAGACAACCAGAAATAACCTTACCAAAATACAGTTTTTGCACTTAGGTGGTCTGACTCCTCATGCAACCTCCCAGCACTAAGGCTGAAGGAGGGTGGGAGGAACAGGACACCAGGAAGAAGAAAGGGTAGGACTGTCAAGGCCCTGATGGCACTAATAAAACTTTATTTGCCTCCCTCACACCCAGCCCACAGGCCCAGAGGCTCTGCTTAAGTTCAGCTGTGCCTATTTCTACCAGTTTAAACTAATTACAAAACTGTGATAAGAGAGAGCAGGAAGAGTGAAGGTGGTGTTAGTTCTTCCAGGAGCTGCCTCCCAAAAGAGGGAGTCACACCACAGGTATTTGTGCCAGCACAAGTGTTTGTGCAGCAAGGCAGAGAACCAGAACAAAGAAAAGTCGTGCAGTTAATTCTTGGAAGAACTGATTGACCCCTGTACCTGAGGAGGGAACAAGCAACTTGTGTTGAGAAGAGTGGCTGACACAGCCTCAGCCTCGAGTGTTTGTGCAAGTCTGGAAGATCACCGAGGTGAGGGGTCTGTCTGGGATCCTGGGAATTCCTGGGACTGGCCTAGGCTGAGGTGAGCAATGATGATGTGTCTTCCTTTGTGTCACTGCCCAAAGCAGCTCAGGCAGGAAGGCGCTGCTGCAGTTACATCCTGCCACTGGCAGTGCAGGTGGAGCTGGGGTTATTTAGGCCTTTCTTAAACACAGCAGCACAAATATTCATCTAGACCCAAAGGTGCTGGTCACAGGGTTTACTTTCAGTTCACAGTGAACGAGGAGAGAGTCAAAACCAAAGTGTTCTGAGCCTGGCTCTGCCCCCTCAGTTGTTTGAAGATGAGCCCGTTTAGTACTGATTGGCTTTTTGGGGGTTTTCTACTGCCCAGCATTTTGATTGTTCTTTCCAAATGTCCTCTTCTGTCAAAACCAGCGTGGAAGTAACATCATGACTACTACACCTGAACCAGCAGTGTTCAGAAATGTCAACTGAGGAAATTCTTAAGGCACTGAGTGACATCTCCAAGAGACAGCTCTCACTGTTGACCATATTGCTAACAGGGATAAAATGGGGGTTAGCTGGAAAGGGAGAATAATCTTGTACTGCAGATAATTAGTCTGGGTTTGCTTATGTCTGTAGTGTCCAGCTCCTATGTTATGCTAATTTAACTTTTATTCAATGAGGAAGAAGGGAAAGTTTTCATAGAAACTGATAAAGCCAGAACTGCCCAGCAAATAAAAGGCATCTTCAACATCAGCAGGTAAGAAACCTTTAAGAAGGTTAATGAAGAGAGAAAATGGTAATAATCAGGATTTTATTCAGTATGTTGTAAAGGAAAAATACATTTCACTAATTACTCATTGTTGGATATTCATAAGAGAACATTTGCTTTCTTCTGCCATTAATGAGGACTTAATTAAAAGTATTTGTTTTGGGACAAACAAGATACATTTGCATAAAGATTGTGTATTCTAGAAACTTATAAAGTTCCAGAATTTACCAAATATCGTGGGCCTATTAGGAATGATTGAAAAAGCAGTCTAAAGGGTAGTAAAACCAAGAGGCACACGAAACACTCAGTGTAAGTAAGGAGCAAGTGATGAGTGGCACAAAGGGTGGAAGAAAGACTAAGGGTTATTTTTGTCTGGAATAGAATTCCTGATGCTTGGTAAAGATACACCTGTTGTACCTCTTGTTACGAACTATATTAAATCAGACTAAGCTTAATGAGTGCCAGATTGAGTGTTTTCCAGGATATTCAATAAGGAAAGGAGTCCAAAACAGCTTTTAAATGTTTGATTTGGGTTTTTTTTTTAAGAGCTGAAAATACTGAAGGAGACTGGAATGGTACTTGGAGAGAAAATTTCTTATTTTAACTGTTTTGCCCTCTTTTCTATATCCAGTTTGATGTTTTAAAGAAAAGTGGATGCAGTCGTGCTGTCCTCTTCTTGGAAGTTATAACTGATGTGAGTAACACAGATGACTGATTCAGGCCTCAGGGCCATTATTTAAAATATCCTCCCACTTTTAGGTATGCATCTGAGTAAACCAACATACCTGGTAAGAAATTCTTGGTGCTTGTGAATGGTCTTGCAAAGGTCCCGAGAGAATTTCAAAATAAAAGAATAAACGAAAGAAGTTTACCTGCTGTAAGCCCACAGCAACACTATTCCCTTGCTGGGGAGCACTTCCTCAGAGCAGTGATGTCACGGTTTTGGAAGCCTTTTAGAATGTTTGTGTCTGACATCTCGCTTGCATTTGTCTGTCAGCAATTCTTGGTTGGGATAACCCACTTGTGCACGTGGTTCTGGGTTCCTGAGTGAATCATTTAACCTCTCTGCCTTCTTCTCTTTCCATCCATAAAATTAGCATAATAATGCTAATTCATTGCAGGCTATAGTTAGGCTCAATTAATGTTTGTAATGATCTCTGAGACTGTTGGATAAAACATGCTGTAAAAGTGTATTATTATTGTTAATAGAGCCTTTTGTACTGCTGCACTCCAACAAAGCACTACCATTGCTCACCAGCTCCTAAATTTCATGGAAATCCCAAGGACTTAATGGGCTACAACTTTCTGTTAGTGTGTCCCTTTATCTTCCTGATCCATTCAAACCATCAGAACGGTTTTGGAACATGGAAGAGCTGTGGAATTTGTGCAGAGAGGAATGATGTCATTTTGTAAGTGATCTGCAGAGAGCTGTGATTTGCGCAGCTTTCTTAAAATGAGGTGGGGAAGAGAAACAGTCCCAGCAGTGGAGATGATGGCACTGTGAGGGAGTGGCAGTGGATAAATCTCAATCTGGAGCTCAGAGTTAATGCTCTTTTTGTGCAGTTTTGGCTGCACATACCAGGATGACAATGGGAAGGCTCAGAGCTCCTCTCCCACTTGTCAGGAGCAGATGGAAAAATGAAGGAACAAGCTCCTGGTTTGAGCAGATCTACAGCCCTGAAAGAACAGCCCACATTTAACAGCATCATGAACAGCTGAGCTTGAGTATTTAAGTCCAAACTGGATTTTTGGTTGCATTGGTTCTACATTTGCTAGACTGTTTGGAGCTGTGAGACAGTCATCTCTACACACGGGTTTTAGAAAGAGAGATTTCTCTGTCCTGTAATGTGACATTTTGTTTTATCAAATGCTAAACAGTTTTCTTGGGACTTTCAAAACATTTTCTCCTCTGCTGACAGACTTCAGCTTCCTAGCCCTGCTTGTTCTGGTACTTGTACTATTCAAAATTGATTTCTTACTATTTTAGATAATGAGAAATGTGTGTTATTCTCATCCTCTCTGTTCTTCAAAACAGTTGGACAGTCCCTATTAAAGCTTTTTGGGGGAAAAAAAAAAAGGCAATAATTGAGAGAGATCATGTTCACAGACCTGATTCTTCCAAAAGTCATACGTTTCAGAATTAACTTTATTCATGTGTTTATAAAAGGAAATTTTTGATTTGAAAATGTAAAATGGCTGAATAGATTTTATGTTGACTACTTTGAAAAACTACTTTTTTTCCCAACCCACTTTTTTCCAACCTAATTCTTAATTGCCCTTCTTGTCTTCTCCCTGGTGTTACTAAGAATGATTCAGCTTAAATGTCTGTAATATCTCTACAGGATTTTATGGGACTGAGTGAAGCTTCTTTCCATATCAAATCTTCGAGTCTGCTACTCTCTAAAAGACAAGTTTGCCCCACAAAACTGGAAGAGAAGAAATAGATGTTGTGAACATGGATGTGCTGATCAACACAAGGCAAGCACGGGAAAAGTGCAGGTATGGGCATCGAGCAGGTTGTGTCATTGAGCAGAGAAAAAATAAAACTGATAAGAACAAAGGAAAATTGATAAAACATAAATTCGCTAATCATGTGAATTAGCCTGGAGTGATAAGAGACAGCAATTTGAAACCTTTGTCACAGTATCTGGCAGCAGTATAGAAAGCAAACAGGGCCTGAGGAAGTAGAATTAGGTGGAGAGTCTACACTTATCAGTAATTAAAGCACTATTCAGAGAAAAAGCAAGACAAAGCCACTTATTGCTAACTACCCCGAGTGTCATGTTACACAGGAAATACAAAAATGCAGCCTGTAAAGGTGAGCACAAATAGCCATAAAGGCATTACTTTCTTCAGATTCTATGGACGGTGTTACAGTTTTTAAAGAAATTCTCTTTGCCATTTGTTTACAGTGAATCCCAGGTGCTCTAATACTTAGAGAATTTACAGCATAGAGTACTAGACTATAAGTGGCTGTTAGAAGCATTTCACCAAAAAAAATAGACAAAATGTATCTTAGTACGTGGCTTGTCTGTGATCCTGAAGTTGAGGCATGCCCATGCTTTTCCATAATGCATGTTCACAACACATCGACACAATGGAGTATCTCAGAACACATTTCAGAATATTCAGATACTTGCTATTTTTGTAGAGTTTCTGTATTTGCCTTTTATAAAAGGAATTGCCTTTAAGCGCTGCTCTGCTTTTCATTCAGCAGTGCTGACAAACATGCCCATCTACCAGGACCAGCAGGAGTCTAAACTTGCCTCTTAGACAGTTTGCATCCTATTTTTGGTGGCCTGTTTATGGGGGTGTGACAATTAAAAACGAAGGTGTGTAAATCACTACAGGAATAACTAACAGCAATTGTTTTCTGTCCAGACAAATAATGGAAGTCTTTGTACAGCCATACAGAGACACAGAAGGAATTGTGGGGAAGTCTGGGAAAACTGTCAGCACTCAGCTGAGTCAGTCTGTGTACACAGATGGAAATCCAGGGCATGTTGGCTGGGTCAGGTACAAATGAGCTTTACTTTGGCTCTAGAAAGGCAGATGGTGCAGGTTCTATCAGGAGTCCTTTTTTCACTTCCCTCCCCTTGTTTTCTGCAGCCCAAAGGGGAGCTGTAGTACTGAAGAAGGTAGCTCCTAAATGACGTAGGATGTAGCAGTAGGATTTTGGACAGGAGGCATTTGAGCAGGAAGTCAATGAGTAGGCTGAATGCCTGGGTATATGGATGCCTTCCTGAATGTAAGTGTTAGGGCAGAGAATTTTAGTTCATGATGAAAGGTGTGGGTTTTCTCTTTTCCAAAGTAACTCTTCATTTCAAACTGAGTATTCATCAACAATGTGGTTTTTTTGCAATGGCACTAGCAGAATACAGAGACAAATAGAATTGACTGCAGCAAAGTTCAGAGGCTGAAAAAGTCGTTCCAAGAGCAGGTTTGCTGACAGGCTGGAGCTGGTTCTGGTGTGCCTTTTAGAAACACCCACCCTGGATTCCCAAGTTTGACCGAACCCAAGTGTCCGTCTGTTTGTTCATTTGTTTATTAAGCGTGTTCATAACTATTAAGCACATCTCTCACACCCAGCATGTCTCCTATAGCTAGAGGGACAGATTATTCCCCTGGTCCAGCGTGGACATGTGTTGAACAAAGACAGAGGTGAGCTGGTCTGTAGAAAACTGTGTTTGTCACTTTTTTTTTTTCTCAAAGCCTCCCCGATCTTCATCCAGATATTCACTGCTACAAGGTTGGTGCTTGGCAGAGCTCCCAGCCTACCTGAACCCCCTTTGTACTTCCTTCTCAGGAAGACAAGGTGTGGCAATACCTTGAGACAAAAATCAGTACAGGTTTAAGGGACTTCATGTGAGTCTTTCTTTCCACCCCCTATCTCCTTTAGCCAGATGATTGATGTGGAGGACTAGGACCTTCCCTCTAAGAAACCACGTACCACAAGGAGGATGCTGCAATATCAAGTGATGCTGGAAAACCTTCATTCCTCCCCAGTTTTGATAAGCCGTGGTATGTGAGGAGAGATAAGATGTTGTTGCTCTTGAGTGATGATAAATGAAGCATGTTTACAAGTAGGATGCTTGAAAGTGGGAAAGGCTGCAGCTCAAATGGCCTGTGAGACCCAGTGAGGACACTTGAAAATAGCCTGACTTTAAGCTGATTGAGTAAAGAACTGACACAAGCTCATAGCAGGGGCAGGGAATTCTGAAGTCAGGACTCAGGCGAGCCACTGCCTTGGGACCGTAACAGTTTTGGCACAAATCACATTAGAGCTTAAATCCAAGTTGCTGAGCGAGAAATTACATAAAATACGAATATATCTCTACCTTGAAAAATTGGGCCTACTTCGTGCAACTTACAAATGCAACTTTTTGAATTTATTTCCCGTGGCACGTGTTGTGAAGCGGTAGAAGGACCTAAAACGTGTTTTCTGAACTGAAATGCTGTTGAGTCTGAAGCAAAATCATTGCAAATTTAAGCCTGGAAAATTATTATTAAGCACTGCAAATTGCCCATTGAAGCAAGAATTATGCCTAAAGATTTTGACAGACTCGCTCCTCTGTTCAATGTGAAGTGTTTATTCCTTTGCTGTGTCCACTGCCAGCAGGCTTTTAATGTCTCCTAAATCACCCAACCCAAAACACCTTGCTGTGTCTGTCCCAGAGCAGTGCTCGGCAGGGTGACTGAGAATGCTGACCTCAGGAATGCAGGAGCATCTTTGTTGAAATCAGTCTTCTGCTGAAAATTACTGTCTTTATACAAAGCTATCACTGGCTTCTGAAATAATAATAATATCATACTCTAACAAACTGCTAATACAGCCCAAATCTTCCCTTCTGGAAATCTATAGGAGCTTTCAGCGTGATTTTAAACAGGGCATGACTAATGTGACAGTGCACACTTGACTAAGAGATGAACATGAAATAAACCTCAGAATTAAGCCATATTTAATACTCTTAATTTAAAGCTGATATATGGTGGCATGTATATAATCAGTCAGCCCTTAATGTAAAAAAGCTCAAACCAAACAAAAATACAAATAAAGGCTTGCTAAAAATCCTACCTTAGTTTGTAATCATGCATTGCAATAGCAGTTGTTTTTGCTGGTCTGATCTGCCTTTCTGTTGGCTGGGTTCCCTTTCTGTGACAGATGTGCTATTTATGGAAGGGGATTCTGAATATTTTAAAGCACTGACTGTTAGGATCATCTCATTCCCAGCCTTTAAAATGAAAGAGAACAAAATGCCAAATAACTTCCCAAAGCAAAACCTCCAAATTGAACAGATACCTACTTAATCATTAAAAAGGAAAGAAGTGTGTGTGGGGGGGAAGCAAAGTCAGATTGTCTAATTTTTACAAGAAATGAATACGTACGTACAGCAGCCCAGTCTTTGCTGCGCAACATTTTCTGATTTAACACAATATTTGTTATTAGCCTTCACTTTCTCTTTTAGAGAGAAAAAAAGTAAATCAAAAGGTACCCAGGTTCCTAGGGAAAGAATGAATACGTGCATGAAAATTTGGCTGCTTTCTTTCTCAGCCATGTTGGCAGGTGGAATGAAAGGCAGCGCTTCTCTGGGCAAATCTGGCCTCCCAAGGAGGAGCTGTTTATTTCCACAGTTGGCCAGAAACCATTTATGTTCTCTTCTACCTACGGTAAATATTATTTACCTAAAGAATTCTCCCAGTGAAATCTTTTCAGGGCCAACACGTTGATCTTCGCAGTTCTGTTTTGTGCCGGGCATCGGCTTGTGGTATTCGCAGGTGGAGGGAGAGGGAGCTGAGAGAAGTCACTGCCATACTGGGGGGATTCTACTCTCTAAACAGGTAGATCCTATGGTTTGTTTTTACCTCACCTGCTGGTTTAGCCTTCTGGGAAGGTAATTCAGGTTATAGTAAATTAAACTGCAGCATGGTTCTCTCATTCTCCCTTTGGAGACACAGTGACAATGAAAGCAGAACCGTTTTTGCTAATGAGGCGTTTTAAAAAAAAAAAAAAAAAAACAAACCAGATTAGCTGTTTTTAATGCTTTTCTCTCTGTATATCTTTTCATTACACGCGCAAAATATTTTATTGTGCTTTTAAGTTTTCCGGGAAATAAGCCTTTTTTTTTGACACTTACAAAAATCTAATTCCCACAATTACTCCCGCAGCCTCTGCAGAGGGTGATACCAATTTAACGTATGCAGCAGCCATTAATCTCAGAAGGTAACACAGAGCCGTTAAGTAGGCGACGGGAAATTTTTAATTATTATTATTATTATTATTTCTGCGGGTTTTACGTTTCCAAATTATTTTTTTTTTTTTTTTTTCCTCAGAGACGAAGCAGCACTTTGGTATCTGCATTGACCTCCATGATGTCAGAATGTCATTGTGCGACCGTAGCTAAGAAAAGCCTCCGAGGAAAAAAAAAAAAAAAAAAAAAAAAAAAAAAAAAAAAAAGAAACAAAACACAAAGGAGCTTTGCATCTTCCAATAACATGAGATGTGCATATACAGGACGCAGCATTTTGGGATTCAGGCTGTGGTAGTGAGTTGTTGCTTTCAGTTTGATTAGACGATCCTTGTTTCGCTTTCCTTGCTCTGACAGTGAGTATTGCCTGTACGCTGCTTAAGTCTTCTTAGTGCTATCTAGGTCAGTGTACTTAGGAGAGCTTTTATGTCCTGTAAGTCTGACAGATAGCGTGCTTGGCAGAGATCAGCACCAAATTTTCTTTTATTTGTTGTATCTGAGGATGGCAAAATATCTTCAAACGGATCAGAACTGCACGCCACATAGCACCTACCGTTTCTGCATTGCAGATATATTTAGCTCTAACACTGCTTGTGGTTAACAGGGTGTAGCGTAGACACAGACAGCTGATCATGCAGTCAGACCCGGTGCTCGTGTGGTTTGTCAATACTGCTCAGGATTTTGATGGACTGTAAAAGAGAGAGAAAACCGAAAGGAAAGAAAAAGAAATGCTTTATTTGCCTGAACACTAGGCTTTTAGCTCTATTATTTTTTTCTATCAATGGCTTTTTTATTTTATTTTTTTAATTCAGGGACTTAAAAATTGAGAAAGCACGGCAAATGCATCCAGGATATAATGTGTGCGACGTGAAACCTTTCTGCACCGAGAGGATGTTCCTGTAGTCGCCGCAGCGCTTCTCCAGTAAGCAAGAAGACTGTTTTGTTTTCCTCGGCAGGCGACTCAGCCATTGCACAAGCAGATTTTGATAAGAGTTTGAAACGCCTGCTACTGTATCACAGTAGAATTTGGAGTTTGCTAACAGTGTTAGCGACTGGAGCTCATCTTGCATCACCAGTTGATGACAATTTTCTTTGTTCCCTCCCACCCAGTTGAACCAAGACTGTGTAGCTGATACGCAATGTCACTTACAACATTAATCAGATACTGCATTTAAGGTGAGCTGTCCCTTGCCTCCTCCCTTACCAGAGCTGTGCTGCAGTATGTATCTCACTCCTGCAAGCCTAAAATGGCAGGCAGGATTAATGTTGCTTGTGCTGTGTGCATGCTGTGTATTGAATTCATTATACTGTGCCTGGTATCTCAAATGTGAGTATGTAAATGGTCTGTGTGCCATGTCATGCGGTAGCGAAGAGTGGTTTGTGCTTCATTACAGCCTTAGATATTTGAGCATCACCTTAAGAATTCTTTTCTTTCATTTGCAATGTGGTGAGCTGTTAGCTTGTCATCACATTCAAACTACGTTATTAGCCCTTGGAAAGGGGGGAGAAAAAAAAAAAAAAAAGCAAACTGTGCTTCCAGATGGTGTCACCCTTTTTCTTCTTGCGTTTACTGTAGTTTAAATAATGTATATTGTATTGTTAATTAATGTGAATATCGAATTAAAGCACTTGAAACTTACATATTTATTATGCAGGTAGGAGGCACGTCGAGTCTATTTTTAACTCTTACGCAGTCCACGTTGTGCAATGGGCTTTGGTTGTCGAGTTTATATTTTCAGCTGTGATATCAATAGGTTGATTTTCAGTAAATGTGACAAGTGGCCTTTGCAGTGGTCAGCTTCAAGCTTTGAACCCTCTGAGGAGGAGGGAAAAAAAAAAACAAAAAACCAAGAACAAAAAAAACCAGCCAACCTTGTGTTGCAGTTTCGGAAAACCTTGGATGAGGACGTGGTTGTTTTTTTTTTTTTTTTTTTTTTTCCCCCACTCCTGCTTTTCCCTGTTGATAAACTCGGTTCTCCCAATCACGGTCTATTCAAGCTGCTTCCCATCTGAATTTTGACGACTGCTTCTCAAAAATTATCAAGAAGACCAAGAATAGAACTCCTCTCCATCGCTCCACACAAAAATGGCTGGGTGCAGTGCCATGCTAACGCTGCTCTAAGTGGTGCGGGCAGGTAGGTTGAGATTTGCATGTTTTACTGTTTTCTTGGTCAGTGTTGCAAGAACATGAAATGGGCTTTGGAATGTGGCTTCCAGTTTAAAAATGTGCTTAACTGTTAATGAAAACAACCTGCATTAAATTGTTGGCTTCACATACTGGCATGGCAGTTACTGGTATCTGGGGTTTTTTTTAAAATCTGTTGTGAAAGTGGAGCAATCATGTCTGTTAAAATAATCATATGTACCAAGGGCGTGGCAACGCTTATGCAACAAAAGAATTTTTGAAAACCCTATTGATTCCATGACATTTTGAAGCTGACTATAAGCACTACTAAGCTTGAAGCTAAAATGCAGAAGTAAAAACTGAGATGGATTAGAAAAGTGAAAAATATTTCAATTCTGTCGTAAGCGGTTTTGCGTTTTGTGCGAAATTTAAATAAGGAATAGCATGTTTTAATGCTTATATTTTCAGTATTGGCCACAAACATGAAACTGCAGTATTTCTTTTTATTTAAAAGTAGAAGGACTTTAAAGAGGAAGATTGATATAGATGGCCCTGTCAGCTTAAAACTGAGTATCAGTTCACTGTGTTTTGCTTCACACAAAAAAGATTATGAAATAAAAACTTAGCTGCCTTAAGTACAGAAATCTGAATTTGAGCATTAGGAATAAAAATAATTATGAGTACTGCATTACTTACCCCAACTTTTGTAATATGTTTGTTTCAGATTAATACTGGGCCAGAACCAGTTTCCTTGGCAACCAAATCCTTTTAAAAGGTTCAATGGTAGAGATGTAGAAAGATGTTATTCTCTTTAGCAGCAATATCACAATGCAAATGGAAATGGTGGTTTCCTCTTAGTTCTAACGCAGAACTGATCTCATCTTATGTTTCCATGTGTCTTATCAATTCCTAAACGATGCCATGTTTATAGAGCTGTACACACAAAAACCTGTTTTATCCCTGGTTTGCAGTGCTTGTTCCCAGAAACGTACCCTGGTTTCTTTTTTTTAATTTAGCCTCGTCTTGCATGTAGGTCAAGGTTTGTACTGTGTGTGGATAAAGCGAGAGTTTCATTATCACGAGTATAAAAATATTACTGAAATATTTAGCAGCTGAGAAATTCAGAGAATCAGAAGTATCTTTAAACCTTCTCTCACCTTTTCTGAATTCAGCCACAGTAATGCTAATAAAGCTTTCTTTAAACACTGAAGTGCAGGACCAGAACAGTTTTTAAGCACACAGCAAAGAACTGCTGTCAGACCTCACCCAAACCTGCTGAGAATAAGCTCACTTGTGGTCTGCGGTAATTTGCAGACCTTACAGATTTTGCAAAAATTCGAGTATTTTAAGTCTTTATTTCTATTTTTAGCTGTTATTTTTTACAGCACCGGTTCAATAATATGGTGCAGCACGGGTAACTGCCTGTGCAGAATCAGATGTTTCTAAATGTCTCCAGTGAGCTCACAACGTCGTGGGTCTCCGTGTCGATCCCTTTTGTACGTGACTTGAGAAATTCTCACCCCTGCAAGGAGACTTTTGCAGCAGGGAAGCCATTTTCCTTCCGTGCCCTTGACTTTAAAATGACTAAGTATGTTTTGTGTGCGTGAGGACCCAGCACTGAAAGTGAACGCAGAGGACGCATTTAGAAGCACAGCCAATTATTAATAATAGCCTTGACAGTATCAGCAATATCAAATTAATTCCCATTTATTTCTAAATATATCAGCCCGATGCACTCCAAATGAACAGAGTATAACTGTTCAGGAATACGACTTGTCATCTGTTGTAACAGGCAAATGCTTAATAATGACGATAAAACCATTTGATTTGGAATTGTAAGATTAGTTTACCCGGTGCAATATTCCTCTCTTCCACCCGAAGAAGCAGGACTGAAAACGCAGCAGACAGCATCTCTCAAGTGACATATTAAAGTTTGCATGTTTTGCACTCTGATTTATCTCCAGCAGCCTGCTTCTGCTGATTATTCTCCTGCCTGAAACGTTAATATGGAGCGCGCCATTACATGTGGCAAGAAAGCGAATTTCTTTGTTTGTTTTTGTGTGGTTATTTTTAAAGGAAATTGCTGAGCAAATGATATGTCAGAGCAGTTTATTTATCGCCGCTGATATTTATCTTTAGAAGAGATGGAGCACTTAGCAATCAACTGTTTCTATTATGTCTTTGTGTTCAAGCAGACCCACTCAGGGCATTTTTTAAAAGTAGCTCTGTTCCATGAGCACACTTCCCTGTGGTTGTTTTAAACCCATTTGCCAATTTGCTCTTTGTTAAGGGGTGCAAGTCCTCTTGTAATTAATATGACAACTCAAGTGCTTTCGTGGGTCCGGAAAAACTCACTGGCAGCCCGTGAACAGTAATTTCTTCCAGCTAAAGGAACTGATTTCTTTATTAAGGAGGAGTCTGGCAATTAGCAAGCTGTTTGCAGTTTGACTGTAGGTGGTTCAGAGGTATTTACATCCAGCTGCTGCAGTGTCACGATGTTGTGGCCAGAGGTGCCACAAGAAACCTGTAAACTTCATCCATTTTATTCCCTTTGGCTACGGGGTCCAACCAGGGCATGGAGGAGCAGGTGCAGTTTTTCCCACCTCCAGCACAGCCTGCAGATATAACTCTTAGTGGGGCTTGTTGGGTTTTTTTTTTTTGGGGTATATTTTGTTGTAGTTTCTTTTATTTTCAGTTTTATTTTTCAGTTGGTTATCGAGCCTCCCTTTTTATAAATGAAATACCTTCTTTTAAACATGCAAATTCCATTTATGCCAAAACAGAAAATCTGTACAAAGCATGAGTAAAAATGAAATCAAACTCAAAAACTATTCACTCAGACACTATTCTACTTTCAGTGGCATTTCTGCTTAAGGTTACTTCTGCCTCTGAACTTCATTTTGATTTGAAACTGCAGGTCTCTCAGTGGTTCAGATAATATTTCTCAGATTATGAGACAGATTCTGGTGGTAATGACCAGGTACCAATTAACCCTTTCGAGGCATCTAGTGTCTGTTGTGTTTTATCACATAAATTGCTTTATTATGTATTAAAAGGGCTTTATTATGTATAATACTGTATTTGAATTCTATTATTACCAAATGTGGGGATTCTTCATCTTTGGTAAGAACTTTTACTGTTTGATTCCTCCAGATGAGACGTTTAAGCTTCCAATCACCGTATTTTGGTCACTTATGAATGTGCCTTTATTGGCAGTTGAGGTTATAATGACTTAAGACGATTTTCTTTCGTTCTGGCCTTTGTGAGCTACAGAATTCTCACTCAGATTAACATGAACTAAAATGTACTCGGCTAAAACAACCAAAATAAAAATTAGCTCCCCTTCTTACCTTGAAAAGCCAACGTAATGGGTCCTGTATTTCCTGTACAATGTCATTTGTCTTTGGTGTATTTGCAAATGGGAGATGGATCTCTGTGTTCCTAATCGCTGCTCTCTCGTCGCTGCTGTGTAAATGTCTATCAGCTGAGTCATAAGGCCTTATCTGTCTGGTTTTGCAATTGCCCTATGGAACAATTTAATTTTGGTTAGGATCTTCGAAACAAACCCCTGCTCTGAGTAATTTTTATACTATTACATGAAAACCTTTTTAGGGTGTTGGATACATAATAACAAAATCTGGATGTTTGTCGAGGATGAATAATCATTTAAGCAGGGAGATAGGGGGAGTTTATTCCAGAGAATAAGAACTGCTTAGAAATGTCATTATCACAGATACCCTGATGATATCTTCAATAAGAGAGACCAAAAGAGGCGGAATAGAAAGAGAAGAAAGGAAACATCTCTTGAAATTACGATTTTAAACTTGAAAACGTCCTTACATTTCTGTCTAGAACTTCTCATGAATCCTTACGTCCAGTTTGCACCACCCAGGTTAAACCCTAATAAAACAACGCAGCAGAAGTTTGGTTAATGGTGCTGTTTTATTGCTGGTGCGTTCTGAGCCTCACAGATGTAGGTTTGGAGTCCTACAGCACCCCGGGGAAAATTCTGAAGGATTGCATAATGTATGAGGAAATTCGTACTTGTCCAGTAACTCAGTATTACATTTGGATTTCTCCCTTTGCAGGCTGACACACAGTAGCCACAGAGTTCACAAAAATCACTGAGATGATTTTGCCGAAAATACCTGTCAATACCACTTTTAAAAGGCTCTAACAGAAGAACAACCTGATTTTAGGTGGGTAAGTTTATGGGGTGATATCACATAGAATTAGAGATAAAATATTTAACACTATAACCACTGCATTACATAATTTTTTTTTTTCTGTGAAGTTGTAATTTATTGTAGCAATTTAAGAGTTGTTCTCGCTGTGGTACCACAATGCTCTATTTTCATGTCGATACTGTTGGATTTTTCCGGCTCCTGCTGGATTTCTATTGCCACAGAGGCTGGACAAACAAAATCAGGCAGAACAGATCTTTGAAACAGGTTGTTAGAGCCACCAGTGATCTGTACAAACAGATTGGGAGGGAAGGAAACCTTGGAGCTCGCCAGGATGTCAGCTCAGCATCCCAGTGGCGAGTGCTCATTGCAAAGCTGTGCGGCCCAGGGAAGGCAGAACTCCTGGTGCCAGTGCCCATCCTGGCACTGTTGTGTTGGTCAGGCTGTGTGTAGTTCATGGAATCTACACCTTTATATGTGACTGTAATGGTGATGGTGAAAAACCTCTCGATTCCTGAGCTGGAAACAGCACTTTGTGGGTTCAGTGCGATAAATAACCAGCAGATTTCAAAGTAACGGTTCGCATTTTGCACGGCTTCTTCAAATTTCAGCAGTTTCCTTTTTTTCTCTCCTTGTACTGGTTAGCACGAATATGTCTGATATCTGTGCTTTAAATGTAAGATACGTACGTATTGAATGGAAGAATCGGTGAAATCCTGATTCGTTCATTAATTTTTAATGTGGCCCTTTGTATAATTTGTGTTACAGAAAGGGAGAAGAAGTTCCATTGATTTCAGTGGCACTGTTTGCACCAATTTCTGCAGAATGACTGCATCACAGTCATTCACGCTGTGGTATCTCTAAGTAGAAATAAGTAATTCAGGTTACCAGGCAGAAGGTATGATAAGGGAACAAGTTAAAAAAAAAAACAAACAAAAAAAAACCCAAAAAACCCACAAGCCAAAAAACCTCTTTGATTCCTAGAATATCTCAAACTGTTTTTCTCTGTTTAAGTTTACTTTTAACACACAGTGTTGTGGGACACAGAAAATGGTAACAGATTTTCAGAGACAATAAAATGGCACTGGTGGTTTAAATTAATCAGGGAAATGCTAAAATTAGAAAAATTCAGGTCACCTGCACTTACTGAAGCGATGAGCTGCCAAACCTAAGTTGCACCTATTTTAAGTAAATTATCATGGAACACTTGCTCAGTACATTTTAGATAGAATACTGGGCCATAACCTGTTTCCTTGACAACCACATATGAATAAAAGGTACATTAGCAAAGCTGCAGATGTGTGTCAGTGAATGCTTATTAAGCAGCCCCATGCATTTACATACCATGTGCTCACAATAATGCATGCATCTTGAAAATCACCATATAAAAAGATTTGTGGGCATGGCCCAGTGTGGATTCCCAACTCTCAGAGGTTTTAACTGCACATCCCCGTGTTTTCAAGGGAAATATCTCTCCTGGTTTTGTTTTTTTTTTTTTTTTTTTTTATTTACTATTGCACTTTAAATTGGTCTGGCGAGATCCGCACGGGATTGGCGTGGTAGGCTCGGTCTGCGAATTGAAACCCTTTCCCAGGATCCTGAACACTGATAGATAGCGCTGCCTTCAGCAACAAAACGTGGCTGGGAGCGATGGCTGGTTTGCATTCTCCCAGAAATGCTCAGGCATTCTGGATCTGGATGTTGTGCCAGCACTCAGAGGCGAGCATGATCATATCGTTTTTACAGAGGGACAAACTAAAGCCACCAAATAAAAATGAAGCTGGTGTTGCTCGCAGCGCTCTCGTTCTGTGCAACCTGCCCAGGCAAAGAGATAAGACCCAACTGCTGTCTCCTACCAGTCAACAACAGGAAAAGGCAGGGGTGGAGAAAAAGCTGAGGAAGTCAAAATGACAGCTGTTCACAGACTTTTGGAATAATATTTGGATGTAGCATTTAGGCAGCACTCACACTTTCTGTGCAAGTGTTTGGATAGTGCTGTTTTGGTTTACAGTCCTGGATTAAATAAGGTCAGTTCTGACAATTTGCGTACTGACTTCAGCAAGTTTATGTACAGGTTATTTTTGGCCTTTCTTCTTGAAGTTTTAATTTATGTATGGAAGGAAAAGCGCATACAACCCTTTAGGTTATCCCACAATTACATATTTTTAAGGAATTAGTCTAAAATCCTACTAATTAAAAAGACAGGGAAAATGGGAATCTGCATCCCTGGCTTTAAGTTCAGTGTGTGTGTAATCTGAGAAGTTGCTTATGTGACTGGTAGCCTAATTAAATCTGCCTTGAAATCAATGAAAAGATTCCCATTTACTTTTTTTGGAGTGTGCAGTAAGAGAGAAGACTTCATTCCTAACAATTAGATCTAGGAAATTAGGATTATCCTGACAATGCCCAACATTTCCATAATTCTCAGCAGTTGAGAATCAATACTAGAATCTAGTATTAATTCCAGATACTGTCACATGAATCTTTTCATGATCCTGAACCATAAACAATGTGATCAGACACCATCACATGCTACAATACCATTAAGGCTTTTGAGTGAGCAAGAGTTTGGGAAATTATTATTATGAGAGAGAGAAGTCAGCTGTTGTTTGGTTGGTTTGTGGGGTTTTTGTTTTTGGGTTTTTTTTTTAAATTCTTATTAATATTATTTGTTGCTCCCCATCAGAGCTGAGCTCAGAGCTGAGCAGTTCCCACTGGTGGCAGAGCAAGCAGCATGGACTTTCCTCTTGCTGCCAGTTGCATCCACAGTTATTGTGTGTCCAGTAAATTGTCACAGTATTGGCCACACAAAGTGACAATTCCGAGCGACAGCCGTCACCTGTGGACTGGCTTTGGCTCACCAATGGGACAGCGAAACCAAAAAGATTTTGCAATATTTTAAGGATACTGGAGAGCAATAGTGGGCAGTTAACAGCTTGAGAAACAATTCTAGTTTTCAAAATAGCTGTGTCCAGCGCTCTGGCAGACCAACTAAATGAGGTGTTTCCAGGAAAAGGGATTTAACTCTATTTTCAGTCTCGCCTGATTTGCTCCATCAGCTGCAGTAAAGGGCAGGAACGGCTGCACTGGCCTGGCCCCCAGCACACCTCACCCAGAATATCTGTGGATGCTGGTTCCCATATTCAAAGGATGTTTCCTCTGAAAACTGGAAAATGAGGGGCTGAGTTCAACTGAGTTCAGAAGCTCAATACTTTTATTTTATCGTTCTGATAACCAAATAGGCAAAAAAACCCCACATAGTAATTGCTCTGAGCGAACAAATAATACATGTTTCACTTGCTCCTTTTGTTTAAAGCTATTCAAACATATAAATCACTCCATTTGACAGCAGTCAACAACAGAAAAATGTCTGCTGTTGTCGCTGTGTCTGTAAACACAGCTCGGTGCTCGCAATTGATCTGTGCTAGCTGAGGACTCTGATATGCCCCGCAAGTGTGGGCGGCGAGAAAATGGCTTGTCAGCAGCACAGAAAAAATGAAAGACTTCAATGGAAAATAATATGAAGATTGTTCAGAGATAGCAAGATGTAAAGTCAGCTGATTCTTAGCAGCAGTACAGCATGAGCTTTTGTATTTTGTGCATAAGAAGAATTTGGATTTATGTCAGTTATTGCTGTTGCTTCATTTTCTTTTTTTTTAGACTGATGAAAAAGATGTAGTTGCACCTTTAAAAAGTGCTTGTATGTGTTCAGTATTAATGGGACTCAGATTAGGCCATGCCTACATTTTACAAAGGCAGCACACCTTGGAGAAGGACTTGCTTTGGTGCTCGAGCACAGCTCAGGGAGTTTGAGAGCCAGATGAGTTGTGCCAGCTTTCTCTCCTCTCCACCAGACTTGGAGGAGCAGGTTGGCTGCTGCAGGCACTGTAACTGCGCTACCTCTGCCTTCCCCCTCCACCTGATGCTTGAGGAAAGGAGGAGGGTTGCACAAAGGAACTCTTTCCCTTGTTCATGTAACACAGAGGGGAGTTGAAGGCACTTTGGGCTGCTGGCGCTTTCCTCAACCCCACTTGTGAGTGAAATGCCTCCCATCCTGGCCAAACTCCTGCTGCTTAGGATGAATTTGCAAGCCTGAGTAATGCTATATATTTGTTGTTTCCTGCTGTTGCTTAAGAGCTGAAGCTGCTTGAGGAACATTGGAACATTTTTTTCCCAGGCAGTCTGAAATACTCTTAAGGACAGGAATGCCACGTGCCACCGGTTGCAGGAGTGAGATTATCAGACTTCAGCAAAGCATCCAAACACCACCATTTCAGCAACCTTGGAACTGTTTTATACGTTTTAAAGAAGCTCTGACAATTTTCTCTCTACCTTGCAATTTTACCATATCACAGATAATCAATCCACTGCTAAACTACTCGGACTTCCACTTAAAAGGAGCACGATCTTTGTGTGAGGTTATGTGCAATCATTCGTATGTTTAACAGGAACTGGTACACACACACTAGCAGGACTGCTGTTTTTAAAGTATATAATTTATATTGTGGCTTCCACCCTGGAATCAGGATTGCACACGCACGTGAATCTCGTCTCACCTCTCACAGGTATCACTGGAATCCATTCACACAGGGCTGACTGCAGCGCCAGTGGCTCCATTTACTTGCAATGCAGTTGGTTTTACGTGAAACATTATAATGATAATGTAAAATCCTGCGTGAGGCCAAGACAGCCTTAGAGAAAAATTGTTATTTTGAAGAATACTTCTAATACACAAGGAGGTGACGGGACTGTGAATTCCAGTAGCTCAAGTTATATATATATATATATATATATATGGAAATTAGTTCTTACAATTACAGTACTAGTTACAGAAAAGATAATTCTTTTTTTAGTGAATCAGCTGAAGTGGCCTTAAAAAAAACAGCCTGTTTAAAAAAAAAAAAAAAAAGAGAGAGAGAAACAAAAACAGTCAAGTTTAATCTTTTATTTTGTTTATAGATATTAAGACTTATTAAGACTGCCAGAGCATCCAGTGGTCAAGTACAAATACATTA